TGGGTTGTGTTTTGCAAGGAAAAGAGCTAGGAACTTTTGCTTTAATGAAAGCCAAGTTTAGCCCTGACCCAGCCAAGTCCCCAAAGCAGTCAGCCCCGAATTTGCTTCGCAGACTGCAAAATCCAAGCTCTGTCAATCACCTTCCTGCATCATTTCTGCTCCCCTTTGCCCTTAGCTCCTGGATCCCTTCCGTTTGTATTAGGACCCTGCCCGCAATATCGGTTCCAGTTTTAGCTCTGGAAATTTCCATGAGATCCCTTCCGAGTCTCCAGTTGTGCAACCACAAAGACGTTACCCCTTCGCTGTGATCTTCCGGCTTGATACAATCTTTGCTGCCCCTTGCTCCATTCTCGCCCGGGGCTGGAATCTCCCTGTGGTCCAGCGATGGGGATTGCCCAGTGAATTCTAGCCTGGGGGGGAGAGGGAACCCCTGCAGCAGTAACCGCCTCGCCTCTGTCATTTAAAGGGCTAGATTTGCAAGAGGAGGGGCGTGCTGGTATGTAGAATATGCTCAGTGCAAAGTGCAATAAGGACACACCTATGCAGACCCTCAGAGCAGCCTCTGCTGTGATGTCCAAGCCACGTCTGGGCCTGTGGGTGATTAGACGTGTCCAACAGGTTCGGGGTTTTATAAAAGGGGGGAAACTAATAAAATCTAAACCAAGCACCAGACCCCACAGGCGCCATTAGGAACGTCTCCGTTGCTACTGATTTTACCCAGAAGGCGCTCATGTACTCCAGTGAAGGGCAGCAGTCAAACAGCTTCAGATGAGACAAGCGGTGGGTGTTCTGGAGACATGTCAAAGTACAGAAACAGCCAGTGCTAGACAGAATACAGGGCTGCTGTATGGAATTGCTCCATTATGCACCTGTATCTATTAGGGAGAGGCAGTAGGGTATAGTGGTTAGAGCCGGGGTGGGCCTGGGCTCTATTCCTGACTGTTAGTGACCTTGGGCAAGTTGCTACATGCCTCAGTTTGCCCATCTATAAAACGGTGGATGAGAACCCCACCTTTATCAACAGCGCTGAGATCGCCAAATGGACTTAGACACGAGATATATTAATGCTGCAAAGGAATATTATGAGATTTGCACATAAACACCACTTAGCTCAGCGGGAAATGTGTTGCATGAGCTGTGGCATGCAAGTGGGAAGTTAAGCGTGCAAAAGAGCACATGCAGAGAACTGCCACTTGCACTGGTGCTGTAGGTGCATTTCTGAACATAGTTCTTCTTTTTTCTGTGCAATTTTGCAGATCGGCCCCCTCAACTGAGCATTTTACCTGCACACCTCAGAAAAGGAGGTCTATTTGGTATATCTCATTTTCAATCTATTTCCCAAAGCGAGGGGAACAAACTGAAGCTTTTGCCAAGGGTGCAGTATGGAGAGACCTCTATTGTTTTCCAGAGTCCGTTTTCATTTTAGTAAAAACATAATTAGTCTCTAGCTCTTATGGCTGTGAAAAAACCCTTCAAAATGTGACACAAGTTTAACTGATGCAGCAACATCTGCCTGAGTTTGCAGAGCGCCTGAAACAATAGCGCCGAGCAGTGAACTACCCCCTTGCTTTCAATGGGTGCTCTTAGATGCCAGAGATGCTATTTTAACTCCCCATTTTATTAATTATTTCACTGCTCATCAAAGCAGGTAAGAAAGGAGAGGAAGGATAAGATTATGAAGATCTACACCAATATTTCCCAAACGAGGGGCATGAAGGAGCACAGAAGGTGTATACAAATTAAGAAATTTGGACCTTTTTTCAGAAGGACAAATTTGGTTTTATTTTCCTGAAGGGGGCTCAGCTTTTAATAGTTTCAGAAATGCTGCCTTAAATTATCATGTTTCATAAGCTTATAAGTAGAAGTGGACAAGAAATGGTTTTCCCCATCGTGTGAAATTTTTCAAGGTATCAAAAAAAAAACCTTCCTGTCCTGCATCAGGAAGGAATGTCAAAATCTCAGAAAATGTCATGTACCAAAAATCTGAAAATGATTTTGTTTGGGGTCAATGAAAATGTTTTGTGCCAATAATTTCAAAACATTTCATTTTGATTTGCAACCATTTTTTTCTTGGAGTCTAAGTTTATTAAAATAGCTAAAGAAAAATTTGCTTTGACTCAATGAACCCAGAATTTCTAGTTCAATAATGTCAAAAGTATTTGGTCCTGCCCTCGAGGTCCCTTCCAGTCCTAGAATCTATGAATCTATGGAAAAAAAAAAAAACAGGATGTTTTTACAATTTCAAAACTTTCTTTCCAAAATTGTTGGAGGCGGGAGATTTGCGAAAACCAATCCCATTTTGTGAAGTTTCAATTTCAACAAATCAACATTTTGGGGGTGAAAAAACAGTTTGTCGAAAAATTCCCAAACGGCTCTTTTCATAAGTGATCTTTTGAAGAGGAACACCTGACTCAGAGGACATAAATCTTGCTGCTGTCTCGGACTCTTGTGAGCACAAGAACATAAGAACGGCCATACTGGGTCAGACCAAAGGTCCATCCAGTCCAGTATCCTGTCTGCCGACAGTGGCCAATGCCAGGTGCCCCAGAGGGAATGAACAGAACAGGGAATCACCAAGTGATCCATCCCTTGTCATCCACTTCCAGCTCCTGGCAAACAGAGGCTAGGGACACTCAGAGCATGGGGCTGCATCCCTGACCATCCTGGCTAATAGCCATTGCTGGACCTATTTTCCATGAATTTATCCAGAACCCACATATACTTTTGGCCTTCACAACATCCCCTGGCAATGAGTTCCACAGGTTGACTGTGTGTTGTGTGAAGTACTGTACTTCCTTTGGTTTGTTGTAAACCTGCTGGCTATTAATGTCATTGGGTGACCCCTGGTTCTTGTGTTATGTGAAAGAGTAAATAACACTTCCTTAGTCACTTTCTCCATACCAGTCCAGGTTTTATAGACCTCTGTTATATCCCCTCTTCGTCGTCTCTTTTCCAAGCTGAAAAGTCCCAGACATGTGCCTCTCAGGTTACCCTACCAAGGCCGTCTCTTGATATTGCTGTCTCTCCCCTACCTGTGTCGTACAAGCACCATGAGCCACACTTGGAAGTTCTCCTGCACTGGAAAGCTGAAAGGTCAGCAACATTGAAGTTAGACAAACTGGAAGCATGCCCCTGTTTACTGGGAGCTCCTTATACCTTACACTGAGATTCACTAGGGAGATGCATGATGACTGAGCAATGAGTGCCCCCTTCTGCGTGGCATTTCTCAATCTCTGGAGCTTCCTCTCATTTCCTGGCTGGATCTGTCCATTCTCACAGTCAGTCTGGCCTGTTTCCATCCCTTCTGCCCAACTCTCCCATTATTTACCGAATCTTCTCTGGGAGTGCAGCCTCCTCCTCAGGGATAATATTATTAATTTATTATTGCCATTCCTCTAGGGGCTCTCGTTATCGACCTGGACCCCACTGTGCTAGGCGCTGTACAATTTATAGGTGCCATCCTTCCCAGGGCAGCATTCACCAGGGGGGAAATTCACCCCATGCAGAGAGGCCAGAACAATGTCTAACCACCACTTGAATCCTCCATAGACTTCAATCGGACTCAAGTGGCGCCTAGCCCTTGGGCAGGCTCACAGCACAAGGATGAATGTCACCTAGCAGATGGGCCGTGGCAATGCAGACTTTCCCTCAGCCCTTAACTGGAGGGTTCACCTCTGGAGTGAAAGGGGAGTGCACCGACCAACCCACGAGCGTCTCTTCAGGGCACTGCCACTGTCTCATGGGTTAATGCAATCCATTGCCAGGCAGCTTTATTCTGAAGCCCATCGTTCATGCCTGCTCTTTCCTCACCACGTACTAAGGAATTAAATAACTGTTCCCAATAAATCGGGGAGGGAGGAGAGGCCAGGGAAAGGGCCCTTTTTCAATGGATACTTGACATTAATGTGGAGAAGGTGGAGAGATGGTAGGAAGCTATTAGCGAAGGCATCAGCTGCAGGGGAGAAGGCTCTCGTCCCACCAGCTCTGTTGAGATGACGTGAAAGGACAGAAGAGGTCAGAGCTAAGGGACTGGGAGGGAGCAGAGAGGGAGCTACAGAAAGACAGACAACAATGGCAGGCATTCCCAAACCGGATTCTGAAATAAAGCCCTGATTCAGCAAAGCACTTAACCGCCTTGCTTCAGTCCCACAAAGTCTTCTGCAGAGTGCGCAGCTTAGAACTGAGACGGAACTCCCGTCACTTGTGGCCTCACTAGCATTTCAAGCCAGAATTGAAGGTCAAAAAAGAATCCTCTCGTAGATTTCAGCATAGAAAAGCTGAACTATAAATAACTTTAATTATTACGGTTGATTAAGCAATTCATTCCTGCTCGTTATTATTCCTCTTAAACAGGGACACAAAAGAACAGAAGAATTTCACACACCTAGATCAGATCATTGGCACATCAAGTCCAGACACCTGCCTTGTGCTTCAGAGCTAGGTCAAAGACCCCTTACTCATCATGCACTGAGAATGAAATTTATTCTGTGTAACGGGCCAGCACAAAAGCTATGGTGCTGAGGGGTTGCACTGGCTCACTGTATACAGGTGAATTTCACCCCAAACTGGTTGTTTAGCAATGATGTCTGTAGAACAGGGGCATGTGAAATAGCCATTTGCTAGGGATGTTGGTCACAAGGGTCATGCACTTAATTCGAATAGTTAGGTCTTGAGTAACTGGGTGTGCCGTGGAATTTTCTGCAACTAATTGACACAACAAAGACATTCCAGTACAGATTAGCATTTAATTTAATTTAACAAGGAGCTGGTAGAGAGATTGTCCGACTGGGCATTCCTGAGCCAAGTCCCTTTATCGACGGGGACAGGAATGCAGAGATAACATCTTTCCAAGGGGCCACCGTGTCTAAGAAAGCGAAGAAGCATCTTCCAACAAGTGTCCAAGGCCACCCATTGGGAATGCAGATGGCAAGCGCAGCCAAGAGGGGCTTGGCTCTTGTTGGGTGGTTCTTCGGGTGTAAAGGCTTCACCCGCCTGGCTCCTCACAGCCCAGTCCTGAGGAGGACGCAGAGGAAACTGGCTGAAATCCCCATCACCACGAAGCTGATTTGTATGCTGACCGCCCCATCCACGTTGCACAAGTCAGAGTTACAGCAGAAGGTGGGGCGAGAGTTCCCGATTTCATCCACGTCGGACGGGATGCATTTCTGAGCGCACCCCTTGACGACGGTTGAGTCGCCCATGAAGGGGAAAACTACAACATTTCAAAGCGAGAGAGAAGAAAGGGGTATGAAAGGGAGGATTTGGGGGGGAGGGGACAAGTTCCAGCCCTGCGGGGAGCACTGAACATCTGTCCCATTTGGATTCCAGCTCCAATTCCAAAAAGGTTCAGGGTTGGACCAGCTGGGAACTAAACCACCAAACCTTTTGCTGGTCTCCTATGTAGAGAATGCCCTACATACGTTCCCTGGGGTCTATCTCGGTCTCTTTGGGTGCTGACCCATCTCTGGTGTCCTTCCTGCGTGTGTCTGGCTCGGTGAACATACAGGCAGTTCCACTGGGGCAGCCACAAGCTAAGCAGGGATACCTGGCGCATGCCCCTGGCTTTACTGGGTGTCGTCTGTCTCCCTGCAGACATGACATCCCATCTCTAATCGCTGCCCATCCTAGGCACAGCAGGTATCCCTGTGCCCCATTGCCTCTCTCTGGAAAAGTGTCTCTTTACTCAGCAATTGGCCAATGCAGCCTCATCCAGAGAGGTGCCAAGAACACTCTGAACTCAAGGGATCCAGTTTAGGCTCCTAAGAGCCCAGTGATTCAGGCACCCACCCAGTCCACCAGCTCCCGTCACTCTTTCATTATTTATCCACAACAGGAGAGACTGACGCTGTCCCCATTGGGATGCCCCAGAGCTCAGGGGTTAGAGCATCGTCTGAGAGATGGGAGATCTTTCGCCCATGCTGGCAGGGAGAGGAATTGAACCTGGGTCTCCCACATGCCAGGCAAGTGCTCTAACTGCCTGATGCTTTGTGTGGCACATACCAGGCACCTAACCCATTCCTGCAAGAAACCCCCTACGTGCCTAAGCTGCAGTTGGTTCCCATTTGCAAATCACTAGCAGAGAGAGGTGCCTCCCTGCACCTATTGCCAAGAGGGGCGGGACTTAGCTAACCCCCCTCTCATCAGCCTCTCCCATTGGCTAGAGGCGTGTCCCCACCTAGCATGCTGGCTTTTGTGAATTGTAGTCTAAGGCGCCTGTCTCTCCCTCTTCATTGTACAGGAGCCTAGGTCCCTAACTCAGGCTTCGTGGCTCCCAGGGCGGTTCCTGTGATTTGCCAGGGCACTAAAAGTTACGCGCCGTGACGCTGAGCGTAGCGACACCTAAGTCCCTTTGTGGACCTGGACCTAAGTGACTCGCCCAACGCAAGTCCAACTGAGTCAATGGCAGAGCCAAGACTAGGATCCACTGCTCCCAAGTCCCTGCGTTGCAGCCTGGGTCCATCGCTAGCAATCACAGGGGAACGCTGATCCCTGGGGTTGGGGCTGGATGGACGTTTTTCCCTTCCCTACATGTGAGCACAGGCTTCTCCCTCCGGGAGTCTCTTCCTTACCTTCCTCTAGGGAGTACATGACTGTCTTGCACACGATGTCATTCGTGGAGCAGTTGCTGATGGTCATGCACAGGGGGGCGCTCATCGGCTCCAGGCATGTGTAACACTGCAAGGCGTGGGCTGCAAAGAGGAACAAAACGGGGTTGCCTTCATGGGGAGCAACAGGTGCTGTCTGCCCTTCTAGATCACCCCTGTTAGGGAAACCGCCACAGCGTCATTCCCCTAAGGCAGTTCTCAGAATGTGATGCCATAGGACCCGGCAGTTCCCTATACATCTTGTCTGATGCATGGAGGGGCATGCTGCAAAATCCATCCGCCATGGCTTTGGTGTCACGCCAGGCTACTGTTAAACTGCCTCCAGGCATGCGGGTATCAGAGGTTAAGCCAGGCCTTGGAGAGCATCATTTCAAAGAGGTTTGTCTGTCGGCTTTGTAACAATTAGCTAACCAGACCCGTCTCACACAGTTATCTGAGGGTATGTCTACACTACAGGATTAATCCGAATTTAGATAATTCCAATTTGGGAAACAGGTTGTATAAATTCGATTGTGCGCGGCCACACTAAGCACATTAATTCGATTTTTAACCACATTAATTCGGTGGTGTGCGGCCACACTACCCCATTACTTTAACCACAGTAATTCGGTGGTGTGCGGCCACACTAACCCTAATTCGAATTAACAAAATCGATTTAGGCGCTACTCCGCTCGTCGAGGTGGAGTACAGAAATCGATTTTAAGTGCCCTTTAATTCGAATTAACTGGCTCTGTAGTGTGGACGGGTGAAGGGTTAATTCGGATTAACGCAGCTAAATCCGAATTAAAGTCGTAGTGTAGACCAGGCCTGAGTGGCAGAAACCTCAGCCAGCTAATCACATCCAGAATAATGGACAGGCTGAACTGATTTACACAGGCATCATTCCATTGGTGGGCCGGCCACTCCTGAAGCCTGATTGTGATTTCGATTTACACTCGAGTCCCTGTGCTCATCCCCTTTATATCGCCAGAGCAGCTGCCAACTCTCTCGTGGTAAATAAGCCCCCCGACTTTCACAATAAGCCAAAAATCAAGCTAATCCCATTTCAAACCAAGCCAATCCCCAAGAACTCCACCACTCTGTGACTAGATCCCCCCGGCGTGCAGTCTGGGACTGTGGGGGGCCCGCTGTGCACCCCGACTCTCTCCTCCCGTTGCCCCTGCTTGCCAGGAGTCGATAAAAAAAAAAAAAAAAAAAAGACGCAACAAGCCCAGCCACACAAGCCAAAAAAAAAAAAAAAAAAAAAAAAAAAAAAAAAAAAAAAAAAAAAACCCAATTTCTGTGTTTTTCTCACGGGTTTGGCACGTCTGCACCAGAGTGCTGTAAAGACACCTTAGAAATAGCATACAGAAGCCTTCTTGTAAGTGAGCATCAGACCCTCGGCCTATAAGCCCTTTGGGTCAGGGGCTGTTTTTATTTTGCACTTTCTCCAGCGCTAAGCACGTGGTCAGCACTTACCACAGGAGAGTCCTTGGGGCAGCTGGGTAAGAGCTCATTGTCGAGAGCTAGAATTAGGCCCGTGGGATTTGTGTGGGCATGAGGGACGTCAGGCAGGCCCCAGGCTAGGACTAGTCTGTGCTGAGATGTTTGTTCCACATCCAAAAGTGGGTCTCACATTATTTTAAAAAGTTAAACATTTAAACACAGGACAAATATTATACCATAAGCAAGTCCTTCTACCAGGAGGAAACAACTCTGGAAAGCATTTGCTAGATAAACTTCCTCTCAAGAGAAAGGCCCTCTGAAAACCAACCAACCAATCAACCCCCCAGCAGGGCCGGTGCAAGGAAGTTTCGCCTTGCCCCCCCCCCCCC